TTGAAAACAAACAAATTATATCATATTTGAAACATACAATATGTTTTTATTATGACAATAAAAACATGATTAATAATTTGTTTAAAAACTTTTTTTAGTATTATTATTATTATATGTCGTTATTATTATTTTAAACAATAAATTTTAATTTATATATGATTTGTTGTTGTTGTTGTTGTCATATAAATAGCCAATAGTTTTTTCAAACGACAAAATAATAATAATAATATTAATATTTTTGTTTAATAAAAACAGTTTACTGTCGGCTAAATTCAACTACAAAAAAGCTGTTCAAACAATTAATTTATATGAATATATCATATATATTATATATATATATATATATAATTCCTGTTTTATTATAATAATACTTTACCGGCACAGGTATGCTATATATACAGTATATATATATATATTTTATGCAACAATAACACGACAAATGCGTAATGATATTACAAAATTACATGAATTTTTTAAGCAAAAATATATTTGTAATATAATTAGAAAAAATAAATAAAAACTTGAATTTTTTCTGCACTTTTTTAACACAGAAATAAAATAAATCTATTATACAATTGAAAACGTGTTGAATATCACATATGAATTGTTTGTAAAATATTTTTTACATTTAAAACTAAAAATAAAAGTATTTATAATAATAATAATAATATTAATATTTATATTGTATATAAAAATAACGATTATTTTTATTTTATTTTTTTTAAAACAATTACAATGTTAGATGTTTTTTTAAATGTTGTATTATTATTATTATTACTTTATTAAAGTTTGCACACAATTTAGAAAATCGTTGAAATTATTATTTTTTTTATTAAATTATATTTTTTAACACAAAAATCAATGATTTTATAACTAAAATGTAATTTTATTTTAGTTATTTATTTTATTTTGCAAAATCAACATAAAATGTGTGCAAATTAAACCATTAGTTTACGCAAACAAATAGCATAGGAAATTAGTAATTAATAAATTAAAAAAAAAAACAAATAATAATTTTTTTTTTTATTATTGTCACAAAAAAAAATAAAATAAAAACTAAATGATAACAACAAACAAACAAAAAATATTAGACAAAATTTAAAAGTTTGTGCAAATAAACAAAAAACAATTGCAAAAAAAACTAATAGATTAATAAAAAAAATTTAAATATATTAATGATAATAAAAAATTATTATTATTATTGTCCGACACCACGTTGAGCACAGGTATGTGTCGTTTATTGCAATAAAATATATATATATATAATAAGTGTGTTATTAATGCCAGTTCACCCCCGGCTTCAATAACTGACTGACTGACTGTTTGATGTACCGGAGCTCTCTAACTGTGTGTGTGTGTGTGTGTGTGCCAAAAAAACCTACCTGTGCTTTAGAGGCAACCAGAGCTTGAGAAAATGGGATGTCGTTTTTTTTGTTAATAGTTTAGTAGTAAAATACTAGTTAATCATACATACACACACATATATATACACAATGTCTATACACATACATACATATACATACACACATACATACATACAAACACATACATACATATCATGTAGTCATACACTTATAGTTGTGTTGTTGTTGTTAAGTGAAAGGGATATACAGGTTGTTGTTGTTATGTTAGATCAGACCCATAGCCAAGGCTGACAACAACTATACAGTACTCCCTTTCCTTTAAGTTTTATTATTATTTTTAATACACTAATTACTTTTAGTATTTAAAACACTATTATTAAAATTATTATTATTAGCATTTTTTTCCATATAATAATTATTTTTTCTTATAACAAAAAAAATACTAACAAATTATTAAGAAACTTATTAAATTATTATTATTATTATCTACTATTAATAGTAAACTAAAAAATTAAAATTGCTTACCTAATATCATAGATATTATTATTATTATTAAGTCATACATTGTGTGTGTGTGTGTGTGTGTGTGTGTGTTAATTAAAAGTAATGTCAAAAACACATTGATGATTGATGATTAATTTATTTAGGTAATAATTTTTTTTGTTCAACTAATTATTGATTATCTTGGTACATTAATTGGTTAAATAAATTTTTTAAATATAATTATTTATTATATAAACTTTATATTATATTATATTATAAAGTATATATATATAATAATTTTTTGTTTTGCTTATAATACATTACTTATAATTATTATTATTATATATATACATTATATATTATCATTTATTTGTAATCACATCTATTTTGTATGATTGGTAAAACTAAAAATATATTTTTATTAAAACTAAAATAAACAAAACTTTATTGTATGACTACCCTAAAGGTGTGTAACATTTTTATGTGTACTTTTGAAAAAAAATTAAAATTAAATTAATGTATATATGATTAGTCAGTGACTCTCAATTAGTCATTTACTGTATATATAATAAATATATATACAGTACAGTATATATATAATACATAAGATTTTTTATGATATAAGTGATGTTAGTTTTTTTTTTGGTAGTAATTTAGTAGTAATAAAGTAATGGAAATATTTTTGTTTTTGTTTTTTTATGTGTGCCATACAGTAAATTGTAATTAAAAAAAATAAAATTTAGTTTTAAATATCTATTATTTTTTTTAGATTAAAATTAGTCACTAAATGACTAAAACATTTTTTAATCATTCATAGTATAAAACATTTTTTTTAAATACAAAATATAGTCAATAATTAACATTAAATTCAATTTTCAAAATAAATTATGGTATAATACAGTATTAAAAAAAATATTAATATTTATTTTGACAATTTAAATAAACTTTTAAACAATTATGAATATACTTTACTTATTTATTACTACAGTTTATACAGTATATACAATTTTATCTATAATAATATTTAATTAATAAACACATATATCATATTAATTAATGAAAAAACTAGATTAAAATATATAAACTAATATTAATATATTATTATAATAATAATAGTAATAATAATATGAAAAGTGCTAATAAATCACTAAATATCATAAATTATTAATTTGCTAATAAGGTTACATACATATAATTTTTGTGTGACTATTTACAAATTAAAATTAGCCTAGACATTAAATTATAAAATAGTTTTAATTACATTAATATTTATGTTAAAAACAAAATTAAAAATTTAGCATTTTATTATTATTTTTTTGTACATAAATTGTACTAATAAATTAATAATATATATATATATAAATTATAATATTTAACAACAAAATTTTATAAATAAATATTATAATATATTGTTTGTTTAAATAAATTATACAGGTTAAAATATTATTGTATTTTAGTTACTATACAAAATTTAATTTGTAATAAATAATTATAATAAACAAAAAAAATTTAAAAATCAAGTTTGCATATTACGTGAGCTTATTAAATACAATTCAACAAAAAAGTTAAATAAATAAAAATAAAATTAATATCAATATTATCTCAATTTTCTTTGTTTTTATTTATAAACTTATATAATAATAATAATAATAATAATAATAAATCATTAATTTATAGTTGTTTTAATTATTTTTTATTTTTTTCCGATACACTTAAAAATTGTTCAAAAAGTTAATCAATTTAAATAATAAATTCAAATACAATAATACTTAATAATATTGATGTAAAACTTTTTTTTAAATAAACAAAATAAAATTATAAATATAAAAAATTTTAGAAAATTTACCTAAATATTTGCGGTCACTAATTAACATATATTTATTTTAATATAAAATAATTTAAATAAAGCATAAATAATTGAATTTGAAAAAAATATTAAGTTAAGTACAAATAGTAAAAATCAAACAAATAATTATACATAAATAATTTTTTTTAATTTTATTTATTAAAATGTTTGCTAATAATAAAATTTATATATATAAACTGTATTGAATATATTTTGCAATCAAATAAAAGTCATTTATATTACTGTATATATACTGTATATACAGTAAAATAGTAACTTATAATAAAAAATAGCAAAAAAATAAATAAATAAGATATAAATAAAATGTTAACTAAAATGACCGCATTTTATGTATTATTTATTGACTAGTTTATTGAGCAATTGATAAAAATATATAATTATATATATATATATATGATATTTTACATAATTAATTATAAATTTATTAGTATATATGCACTTGCACAAAAAATAAAATAATTAAATATATACAGTATATATATACTAAATTATATATAATTTTTTATTTAAATATAATATCTAAACACTAGTTTATCATTTTATTTGTGTCATTATTTTATTTGTTTTTGTTTTAATATTATTAATTGTAATATTTTACTTATAAATGATTATTATATACAGTATATTGTATGGTTAATTATGTATAATTAATAATTAGCGCACAATATATATATATATGATATAATATATAAAAATTATTATTATTATTTAATATTACATAAGATTTTCACAATTATTATTATTATCCTATTATATATTGTCTTTATTTAATCATACATATTAGTAGTTTACTATTTTTTTAATTATTAAAAATACAATATTATTTTTTTGATATAATTTGTTTATATAAATTATATAATATAACACACACACACACACACACAAAACAAACATAAATTAACAAAATTTTTAATTGCTATTAAATATATGATATATTTTTAAAAAAATAATTTAAAAAAACATTTTATCATTTTGTATAGTAATTCATTATACCTAACAAACAAATAAATATCATTAAACTAAAATTTATATATAAATTATTAATTACAACCTAAACAACAACAAAAATAAATAAATATTCAACTAATTATTAGTTAAAACTTAGTTTATTTTTTTCTGGTTAAATATTTTTAATTTAAAATAAAAAAAAAACAAATTTTCTTATTAATAGAAAACTTTATTATTATTTTTTTATGGCAAATAAAACAACAACAAAAAACAATTGATTCAAAATAATGATTATATAGTCACAATTATTGATGTCAATTAATATAATAACTAATATATTACATGAATAATTGTTTCTTAATATATGACTCCAATTGGGACAGGGACAGGGATCCCGAATCGGGGAACAGTAGGCTACAAGCATTTAGACACATACTAGTCCAGGGGCCGGTACACATTTGTGTACATAAATCGCGTGATACTTGATCTATAAAGTTATATAATATACACACAAACAAAAAAATAATTAATTTAGTATCAAAATAATAATAATCACTTACTATCTCTTTGAAGATAATTGGCGACAATGTTGTTGTTTTTGTTGCCGACATTACTGTCCATTTTGACGACTACTGGTGCAGCCGTTGCCGATTGAAGCCATAGTATGGATAAAATTGTTAATATAATTGACTGCCATAGATATAGTTGTTTAATCATTTTAATTTTATTTTTTTAAATTAATAATTTATCAAAAAGTTTTTTAGTATCAGTATATAACTACTGTATTATAATAATGATTAAAAATTTAAAGTTTTTTTTTATTATCAATAACTTATTATTAATATTAATAGCTAATGTTTAATGTATTTATACTATTTTTTCACAACTATTAAATTAGGTCTACAATGATTATGGTAATTTTATTTACTTTATTTTTTTTTTGAAATATTTACATAGATAATTTTTTTCAAAAATATTTAACATACCTTGACACAAAAATATTTTTAGCTTATTTTTGATATATAATTATTGTTATTTATTTATTTCTATATACTCTATATATAGATTAAAATTTTAAAATAATAAATAAATTATTTAGTAAAAGTAATAATAAATATGTGTATATTTTATGTGTTGTTTTTTACATTATAAATATGTCAAGTTTTTTAGATGATGATGATGATTTTTATATTTTACTATTTTTTATTAATTTTCAACTAATAATAACAAAAACATTAACTATTATTGTTTATAAACTTTATTTATTTAAGTATAAATAATATTAATTTAAAGTTTAGTCAAACATTATAATTAAGGCTATAATAACTTTTAATTAGTAAACTATATATAAAAATTATTAGAAAAATAAATAAATAATTATTTTTTTAAAAATTAGTTATATTAGAAAACAAAAATTTTTATATTTAATATTGTTTTGTTTTATGAAATTAATAATAAAATATATATATATTTATTTTAAATATTTATATTTAATTACTAATAATAATAATAATTATCATTATTATTGTTTTGAAATACTACTACTATTTTTATTATTATTATTGTTTTTATTATTACTATTATTGGATAGCGATTTCTGTGTAACTGCCGATACCTGCGATACCTTAATCTCCCAATTGGTGTCCGATTTGCCGATTTTGTCCCTAATATCTGGCGACAATCCTTCGGCTGATTGCTATAGTATAGAGAGAAAAAAAATTATTTTTTTAGCAAAAATAAAGTTATAATTTTTGTTGTAGTTTTTAATTAAACAAAAATTACTTTTTTGCATAAATAATCTCTAAAATAGATAACCAATACAACGATTACAATAATAATGATCAGCAATACTATGATTGAAAACAGTATATAAATCCATGTATTATCGGTACTGTTATCTCCATTATCGTTGGTTATACCCGACTGTTCATCATTAGTCGACGGTACTGTCGGCCAGTTAGCCGACCAAATATTTTTACATTCAATGGCATACTTTTGTAGACTACTTCGCATTTTACACTATTGTATTCAATTAGAAAAAAAAAATCATTTTTTATGAAAACTTATTAATCGTTTTTTTATATTAATAAAAAAACTAAAATTTTTATTACCATTTCGGACAACGGCTTAGCCAACGGTTGCCAACAATAGTATGGCTTAGAGTTTACATTGAAAAACATAAGAAACCCTTTCCTCTCTATCCGCCACTGCCGCCGCCGCCGCCGACTACTACTGTAATCGTTGTCCATGTAGTCAACAATACCGTCGATCAGCGACCAGAGATCGGGATCTATATCCTTAATAAAGTCGGGCATTTGGCAGCCATTACATTGGTTGTCGATTTTTTCCGACAATGGCTTATAGTATTTGATATCATTGTTGTTGTTGTTGTGGTGGCGGTGTTTGTCTACAATATAGACGTAATCAGTGCGATGTCCGGGAACGGGACCAAACACTAGGACACTGTCGGCCGGGTATTGTATTTTCGACTTAAACTGTGTTTGATCGGCACTCTTGCAAGTGGTCTCTATTGTCTTATTATTTATATCCTATAGATATATAAGGGTTGTGAGAGGGTGTTAGTAGGTGTTAGAGATTAATACTATTATTATTGATATCCATACACCACACTACCCCTCCCTAGACTTACCACATAAACTGTTGTACAATCGTATGAATTATAAGATTTGGTACCGTTTTGGTCGACAACAATTTCTTTGGGACCAAATCTTTTGATAATATCTGAACCGTACGACCGACTTATCGTATTGTCCAACAATCTTATAGTAGGTCTATCATAACTACCAATGTTTAGTTCATTAAACTTGATGTCAAACTGCCAACTGCTACCCGATTTGTACATCAGATACCTATCTTTGTAGCGATTGGCGTGTGATTTGTCGATTAGCCACTGATGATGAACACCGATACCAGTGAATCGGCCGCCGGGTGCCAACTGGTCGCACACTGGTGTCTGTCTTGTTGTTGTTATCCCCCGACACCAGTGTATCAACAAATATATTATTGATGATAATATGGTTGTATATAATGAAATCATTTTTTTACAGTAAAAAAAAATTCTCTCTTTTATCTAAAGTAATAGCAAATTATTATTTAAACAATTTTTTTTTTAAATAAAACATATTTATTGTTATAATTCACGCGATGTTATAATTAATGTAATAATAGTAATAGTAATAATAGTTTTTTACTGATATAACTAAATTTAATAGTTTTATTGTTTTACATTTAATGAACAACAAACATAATTACTAACTCTAACCTCCCGTTCCTAACCTTTCACACACACACACACACACACACACACACACACACACACACACACACACACACACACACACACACACACACACACACACACACTACTACTCCATAACCCTCCCCACACACCCACACTAGCCTAACATAAAAAATAAAGCCTAACATAAAATAGTATTGCATTTGTTATTATTATAAACTTAAAGGTTATAATATAACAGCGCGCGTGAAACTACAACAATCAATAGTTTAGACATAATATATATATTTAAAGTTAAATGAAATTATTGATATTTTTAATTAATTAACAAATTATTTATTTATTTTATAACAAAAAATTTCTAGTCGCGTAAATTATTTAAAATTTAATTTATTTCACTTTAATTGTATTCAACATTTAACTGAAAATTTAACTCTAATTTAACGGTTATTTGTTGAGTAAATTTCTATTAAATTATTCATTGAGTTATTACAAAGTTTTATAAAAAAAAAATTCTGCCAATACCTGAGTTTTAGTGATAGATATCTAAAGATATTATTTATAATAACAACAACAAAGATATTTGATTAAATCCAATGATTTCATTGAATATTTCGTTGTTATTATTGTTTGCTGTAATTGTTTTGTCGTCCATTCATTGGTCACAACAGCAGTCGGTGTGCGAAATATTGGCACCAAATGGTCGGTTTGAAGGCATCCGAGTCTATCACGAATGGGATGTCGTCTATAGTTTTGCCCAAAACTATACCGAAGTCTATAAAATGTACAACAATTTCGGACAACAATTTCAATTTGATGTGTCGTTTCCCAACACTGAGCCGGCAGTCAATAGTGACAGTACTGATGAACCACTGGTGATAGTATCTGACAACAGTGTGGTTACAAACTTTAGTACAGATATTGTGGCCAAATTGGCCATCAAGACTATAGTAACCGAAAGTAGCGATGATATTGAAATATATCCTCAGTATATAAATTATCGTTGTATATCATGTAATGCCTTTAACGGATCAATTGTATGTATAAAATACAGTTTAGTAGTAATAGTAATATTTAATGCAATTTAAAATAAACAACAAAAAAAATGCTTTTATTAGACCAATGGATTAGCTGTCGATAAAACAGTTGTTAAATGTCTGGAAAGGATGATTGGATCGGATATAACAACCAAAACTGAATACAATTTGCAATACAAACTCAACGATTCAATTGTATTCAGTCCCGTAGCCAATAGTTTAGGGCCGTATGTAATAGCTATGGATAGACAACGCAAAGGTGTCGGAAAATTCATATATTTGTTGGCAAATGAAACGCTAGATTCCGATAAATGCAAAGAACAAAATTACTGTTGGTATCCAAACTTTATCGACGATTTACCGGACGATCTCTGGCCACTTGTCGACGGTATTGTCGACTATGGCTATCTCGTCTACAATAAGCTAAACAGCAACAGATCCGGTCATATATTGTTTTTTAATATCGACGGAAAACCATACTATTGTTCGACACCATTGAACCAAACGCTGTCACCGAAAGTAATAACTGTTTTTATTATTAGTTTTTATTTTGTATTTCATATTTGTTTGTTTTCTTCATTAATCGTATTATTATTTTTTTAGTGCAAATCCAAAGACAGTCTCAAACCGTATGCCATTAACTGTCAAAACATTTGGACCCAAACAACAACACAAACCCATTCAACCCTAAGCCCGACAACTGACTCGACCAACAAAAACGATTTTATTCCTTACATTATGGCAGCGATTGTCATAATTATTGTCGTCCTCATAGTTATCGTTATTTGTCTAATAATTTGTTACTTAAAAAAACCAACTGAAGACAAAAATGTAGAGAAAATTGTTTTTTGTTTTGTTTATTTAAAAAAGTTTATTATATATATATATATTTGTAAAACAAAATAAAAATTGTTTATATTATATATATAGACATTAAAACCTGAGAGCAATGGGAACTCCATGGCGAGCATCCGATCTCTGGACAGACATCAATCAAAACAACCGGAGATCGAGAGGTCAAAGTTGGCCTAAATATTTGGGGACACTATTTGGTTGGTTGACTATCAAAATGAAATGCCAAACAAAAACTTGTGTTTATTTTATTTTATTATTTTATTTTTAGTTTAAATTTATTGCATAAAACTATTTATTTGTAATTTTTATTTATAATTTTTTTTTGAAACTAAATTCTAGACTAAACTATATTTTTCTATATTTTAGACATAATATATATATATTTAAAGTTAAATGAAATTATTGATATTTTTAATTAATTAACAAATTATAAATTTATTTTATAAAAAAAAATTTCTAGTCGCGTAAATTATTTAAAATTTAATTTATTTCACTTTAATTGTATTCAACATTTAACTGAAAATTTAACTCTAATTTAACGGTTATTTGTTGAGTAAATTTCTATTGAATTATTCATTGAGTTATTACAAGAAGTTTTACACTTTTTTTTCTGCCAATACCTGTGTTTTAGTGATAGATATCTAAAGTTATTATTTATAATAACAACAACAAAAATATTTGATTAAATCTAATGATTTCAATGAATATTTCGTTGTTATTATTGTTTGCTGTAATTGTTTTGTCGTCCTTTCATTGGTCACAACAGCAGTCGGTGTGCGAAATATTGGCACCAAATGATCGGTTTGAAGGCATCCGAGTCTATCACGAATGGGATGTCATCTATAGTTTGGCCCAAAACTATACCGAAGTCTATAAAATGTACAACAATTTCGGACAACAATTTCAATTTGAAGTGTCGTTTCCCAACACCACTAACACTGAGCCGGCAGACAATAGTGACAGTACTGATGAACCACTGGTCATAATATCTGACAACAGTGTGGTTACAAACTTTAGCACAGATATTGTGACCAAATTGGTCCTCAAGGCTATAGTAACCGGTGGTAGAGATGATAATAATATATATTTACATTATAGTTGTATTTCATGTAATGCCTATCTTGAGCTAATTGTATGTATAAAATACAGTTCAGTAGTAGTAGTAGTAGTAGTAATAGTAGTAATTAATGCAATTTAAAATAAACCAAAAAATATATGTTTTTATTAGACCAATGGATTAGCTGTTGATATAACAGTTGTTAAATGTCTGAAAAGGATGATTGGATCGGATATAACAAACAAAATTGAATACAATTTGCGATACAAACTCAACGATTCAATTGTATTCAGTCCCGTAGCCAATAAATTGTCAAACTATGTAATATCGATGGACAGACATCGCAAAGGTGTCGGAAAATTCATATATTTGTTGGAAAATAAAACAATAGATTCCGATGAATGCAAAAAACCAAATTACTGTTGGTATCCAAACTTTATCGACGATATACCCGACAATCTCTGGCCACTGGTCGACGGTATTGTCGACTATGGCTTTCTCATCGATAATAAGCTTAACAACAGATCCGGATATATATTGTTCTTTAATATCGACGGAAAACCATACTATTGTTCGACACCATTGAATCAAACGCTGTCATCAAAAGTAATGATTGTTTTTATTAAATTATTTTTTATGTATTTATTTGTTTTATTTCAATAATTGTATTTTCAGTGCAAATCCAAAGACAGTCTCAAACCATATGCAACTAACTGTCCGGCAATTTGGCCGAAAGGCATCAAAACCACTGCTTTTACTATTAAAACCTATATATTGATTGTCGTATTAATAGTCATATTAATTGCTATTATTGTTTTCGCCGTTTATATTATCCGAATGTATTATCAAAGAAAATATTTTAGAAAATCGGACGACAAAACTGTATGTTTTTGTTTGATTATACATACAAAACAATACAAAACAAATAACAATATAATTTTAATAATTTTAAATAAACAAAAAACAATATAATTTTAATTTATAGAAATCGGAAATTTCATCAACACTTCGGGCAAAAGTCGGCAAATCAGACACCGATTGGTCAATACGTGTGGACAACATATCGAGTGAAAATCAAAACAATATTTAAAACAACAAAAAAAACAATTTTATCAACTAATTTGAGAATAAACTCTATTAACTAATAATTAAAAATTTTATTGTTTTTTTTATTGTTATTGATATTTTTTCGCTAATATATTAATTTTATTCAATTGGTATTTATAATAAAAATATTATATATTTTCTATAATATATACAGTATATATATCAATATAATAGATACAATTAAAAAAAACTCATAATCATAATCATAAAAACTAATCATTATTTTAAATAATTGCATACATTTTATAATTCAAAAAATTAAATTAAATTAATATATTATGTAATTTTTTGCACACAAGTATTTTTATAAAACAGTTATTTCTGTTTAATTAAATTTTTTAAATTAATATTTTAAGACACTATATTATAAAGTCTATTAGATTATTTAAAATTAGATGATAATAATAAAAAATAAATTATAGATTACATTATATATAATACATATCAATTGTTAGATAACTTATAGATAATTTTATAATTAATTTACATTATTTAAATTAATCTAACGAAAAATAACAAATAAAATAATTGCAATAAATTCATTGTTTAGTTTGATTTATAGATTTAAACTGAAAAAAACAAACACAAAAAATATATTTAAATTTTATGATTTTTTTTCGTTTTTATTTTGTAGTTAGCAATAGATTTATTCATTAAACTACATATTAGATAATTAAAAAAAACTCAAATATTAATTGTTTATTATTAATACACTGTATATCTATATATGTATATCTCATTTAAATTGTTTGCTTTAATTGTGTCCATCCATTGGTCGCACTGTCTACGCGATAACAACACTGAAAACCAGTCGGTGTGCGATATGTTAGCACCAAATGGACAGTTTGATGGCATCCGAGTCTATCATCAATGGATTATCAATCAAAACATATCAAATAATTTAATAACTTTTTATGCAATGCATAAAAACGGTACACAATTGTTGTTACCGTTTCACATATCGTTTCCGGACAATAGTAGTAGTGATGAACCATTGGTGACATTAGAGGACAATATTAAACCAGAAAATAAAACCAATCTTTTAAATATGTTTGGTTTCAATACATTGAATACAAGTGGCAATTGTTTTTTATTTGTAAGTACACTATATTTACTATAAATATGTGATATTTTTGTTTTCATTGTATTTATATTGTAGAATATTATTAAATATTTGTTAAATATCTATAATTTTTTTTAAAGGATACTAAAACCAAAGGAGATGTTATCTATATGTGTTTAAGTCGATCAGTTAGTTTTGAAAAAATATTGAACATATCGACTGTCGATACGGTTAACGGTTTTATAATTAATCCAAAAACTGTTAACAATGACAGAGCCTATGTTATCGTAGTGGACAGGTATGACAAATCCAGGATTAAGTTTGTCTATATAGATGAAAGGGATAGTAATATCATTGTTTATGATTACAATCAATGTCACCAAATATTTGGGTGTTGGCGCCCGGATTTTATCGACGACATACCCGATCAACTCTGGCAACAAATCGACGGTATTGTCAATTATGGCAAAAATAATCGACATTTGGGTTATATATTGTTTTTCACAATCGACTCAAAACCATACTATTGTTGGACACCATTGAATCAAACGTTGTCACCGAAAGTAATAACTGTTTTATTATTATTTCTTGTAAATCATATTTATTTGTTTTTTTTTCTTCAATAATCGTATTATTTTCAGTGCAAATCCAAAGACAGTCTCAAACCGTATGCCATTAACTGTCAAAACATTTGGACCCAAACAACACCTACAACTGACTCGACCAACAAAAAAGGTTTTATGCCTTACATTATGGCAGTTATTGTCATAATTATTGTCGTCGTCATAGTTATCGTCATTTGTCTAATAATTTGTTTTTCAAAAAAATCAAAAGCTGTCAAAAATGTAGAAAAAATAATTTATTTGATAAAATCTATTATCATTTATCTAAAATCTTTAAAACTTATTATTTATTTAAAATTGTTTGTATTATAGGCTAAGACATTGAAACCTATTTCAGAGCTGAATGATAGCTCAGTGGTGACCATACAGACATCTCTAGACACAGACAGCCACTTAAAACAACAACAGGAGATCGTGAGGTCAAAGTAGGCCTAAATATTGCGGACACTATTTGATGGGTTGACTATCAAAATGAAATGTCAACAAAAACTTGTGTTTTAGTTGAAATTAGTTTTTTTTTTTTAAACAAACTATTATTTTCTATCTATTTATTTGAATTTTTTAAAATATATATTTTTTTAATAACTAAATTCTAGTTTATATTTTATTTTCAATTTATTTTTTGTTTTGTTTGTGTAAATACTCATTAATTTGATTTGTTTTAATTATACAATTTTATTTACTACTATTTATAATATATATTTTATAAAATATTTATTTTTAAATTAATTAATTAACAATTGCTTATTAATCAAATATATTTTTAAAAAATAAACTATAGTTTTATTATTTATTTTGTTTCAATTTGATTTTTATTTATTTAATTACAATAAATTTTTATAATTTAATATTATTTTTTTTTAAGTATTTTATGATTTAAAATTTAATAGATTCAAAGATTTTATAATTATTAAATAATTGTTTAGTTAAATTAAAATAAGTGTTAAATCAAATTATTGATATTTTTAATTAATTAATAAATTATATAATTTATTTTATAACAACAAAATTTCTAGTCGCGTGAATTATTTAAAATTTAATTTATTTTACTTTAATTGTATTCAACATTTAACTGAAAATTTAACTCTAATTTAACGGTTATTTGTTGAGTAAATTTCTATTGAATTATTCATTGAGTTATTACAAAAAGTTTTACACTTTTTTTCTGAAAATACCTGAGTTTTAGTGATATAAATATCTAAAGATATTATTTATAATAACAACAAAAACAATATTTGATTAAATCCAATGATTTCATTGAATATTTCGTTGTTATTATTGTTTGCTGTAATTGTTTTGTCGTCCATTCATTGGTCACAACAGCAGTCGGTG